GTGTGTGTGTTCGTGTGTGTTGATGTGTGTTCGTGTGTGTTGATGTGTGTGTGTGTGTTGATGTGTGTGTGTGTGTTGATGTGTGTGTGTGTGTTGGTGTGTGTGTGTGTGTGTTCGTGTGTGTTGATGTGTGTTCGTGTGTGTTGATGTGTGTGTGTGTGTTGATGTGTGTGTGTGTGTTGGTGTGTGTGTGTGTGTGTTCGTGTGTGTTGATGTGTGTTCGTGTGTGTTGATGTGCGTGTGTGTGTTGATGTGTGTGTGTGTGTTGATGTGTGTTGGTGTACGCGTGTGCGTGTTTGGCATTTGCTGGCCAATCAGTGTAGATTTCCCTCTCTCCCCCTCTAAGGGTACGCTGACGGCACTGACAACTGGTCAACAAACACTTTTCTCTACTTGCCCAGCTAGTTTGGGTCTTCTTTCAACAATGTGACTGTGGTCAGCAGCAGTGATTGTCTCTCTGTGTATGTCTTCTTTTGTCTGAATGTAGGTAAATACAGTGTAACACAGATAGCTCTGATTGGTCGGGACTGGCCTTGGTAGTTTGAGGGATCCGTCGTTCGAGGAATGTCTTACAAAGATAGAGAAGAAAGAAAAAGACAGGACGGCAGACACAGTTCGACGGATGCGTGATTTCTAGTCTTCTGTGTTTGACCTATCCGTGTTTTATTTCACGTATTTGAAAGGCGGGTGGTTGGAGGGTGCTCTGGTGTGGTTTGCTCCTTCTTTCGTATTAAACACCTATCGTTCTGATCTCTCCTGTGGGTGGTTGGCGGGTGCTCTGGTGTGGTTTGCTCCTTCTTTCGTATTAAACTCCTATCGTCCTTTTCTCCTCTCCTTCTATTTTGTGTTTGTTACTCTCTTGCAACACCTCTTTTCTTTGGCACTTATGACCTTATTGTGTTGCAAGTGCCGTAAAACACTAACACTAAATAAGTTTGACTGACGATGTCTTGTTCTCCTCCCTAGGGTCCTGTGGCCGTGAAGTTCCGGAAGGGGGCGTGTGCCAACTGTGGAGCCATGACACACAAGAAGAAAGACTGTCTGGAGGTAGGTCGCAGAAGTCGTTGGTCTCGTCTCCACGTCTGATGTGATCTCAATGTCTGTGCTACTTCATGTTTTGTTTTAGTAGAGTTTTTTTGTGTGTTTTAGTAGAGGTTTTTACGGCGCTTGCAACTGCACAAGGTCATATGAGCGCCAAGGGGTGGATGTCAACAGAGAAGTCTAAACGAGGAATCAGACTTACTCTGCTCACCTCTCTAGCCTCAACAGCACAAAGTCTGCTTCGACAATCAAGGCACCCCGGAAATAGCAGTTCACAAGAGAGTGACAAACTCACAAAAGAAGTAGAGGAAAAATGACGATAGTAAGGATGACGAAAGAAAAAGCAGCAGTTCACCCTTTCTGCTGTTGAAGCTAGAGAGGTGAGCAGAGTAAGCCTGATTCCCCGTTTGGACTTCTCTGTTGACATCCATCCCGTGGCGGGTGATGTGGTGTAAATGTTGATGGTGGGGATATTTTGTGGGGAGGGGCGGGGGGGAGTGGCACGTCAGCTGATGTGGTGTAAATGTTGATGGTGGGGATAGTTTGTGGGGAGGGGCGGGGCGGGTGACAGCGTAGGAAGTGGTAGGATCTTTCCAGTGCAGATTTTTGTTTAGATTTTATTGTTACATATGCTCATTGGCTCACACCGTATGTATTTTTACACTGTTACGTATGCTCATTGGCTCACACCGTATGTATTTTTACATTGTTACGTATGCTCATTGGCTCACACCGTATGTATTTTTACAATGTTACGTATGCTCATTGGCTCACAGCGTATGTATTTTTACACTGTTACGTATGCTCATTGGCTCACACCGTATGTATTTTTACATTGTTACGTATGCTCATTGGCTCACACCGTATGTATTTTTACAATGTTACGTATGCTCATTGGCTCACACCGTATGTATTTTGACTTATTTTTTACTTTGCACAGCGGCCGAGGAAGGTGGGTGCGAAATTCACAGGGGCCATGATCGCACCAGACGAACACGTTATCCCACAGCTCAAGATGAACTACGAGGGCAAGCGCGACATGTGGAATAATTTTGACGCGGAAGAGCACCAGAAACGACTGCAGGACGAGTACAAGGAGATAGAGGAGGTGCGCTGCTGCCAGTTTCTTACTTTTATGTTGTTTGTTTACCTCCCAGCCCCATGCGTGTATATTATGGGCATCGCTTGTACCTCCCTCCGTCCCAAGAGGGTGTATTCTCAGTTTTGGGGAGGTACCGAATTTTGTGCTTTTTTCGAAATTAGCGAACCTACTTAAACTTTAATTTTCGTTATAATGTTTTGTTCATTTACTTTTAAACATTGTCATGTGCGAGATCTATCGTCGAAACCTCGTTACAAAGATACTGCATCACTTTTTAGAAGGCACACCTGTTTTTCTGAACTACCGCTGTATTGTCCGGGACTGGGGTTAGGGGGTGCACAACAATGAGTGTGGCTGGAAGGGTTAAATTTCTCGTTGTCTAAGTTTCTGAGTGAGTGATGTAGTCCCAATTGGTTCCCTATCCCAACAGACGGAATGTGACTGTTGTAGTCGACTCGCGAGACAGTCTGACTGAGGGTTCACCAAACTTTTTTTCACAGTGAGACAGATAAGTGAGAGAATGCGGAGAGCTTCTACAGATTGCCGTGTCGCTCAATACAGTACTCGGACTTAGAGGAAAAACACTTTCATAACTTTCAAGTTTGTCAGTTTTTTCTGGTATGGAGGCATGAAATGCCAGATGAGAATCAGACGTCAGCCATCTATAGTTTGTCCTTTATTTCTCTTGGGAAATACTCGTAGAAAACCCATATCATCCCATCCCTCCCCCCCCCCTTCGCCCATTTGTTCAAGTTTGAGTCAATTGCTCTTTGTCTAGCTCTACCTCTTGTATATTTTGTCTTCTGAAAATTACAGATGAGTGTGTTCATTCACTTTCTTTCTGTGGGTGGTTGGCGGGTGCTCTGGTGTAGCTTGTTTTTCGTCTTTGCCTTCCAACGTCTATCGTCCTGATCTGTCCCCCTTCTTTTTCGTGTCTGTTACTCTTTTGTTACACCTCTAATCTTCGGCACTTATATGACCTTATTGTGTTGCAAGTGCCGTATAACTCTTACTAGAACAAGATTTTCTTTCTCTGTGCCCAGGCTAAGAGAGCGCTGAAGGAAAAGTCTCTGGACGAGTCACTCATGACAGGGAAAGGACCGACCGACGCTGAGAATGGGGTACGTGTTTTACGGAGTTGTCTCTTCTCTGTGATTCTACAAAATGTGCTGGCCTGAAATATTTGTTCTTTTTCTTTATTAAAGAAGAGCAGTTTGGACTAGAAGACAGTTTGAAGAAATTAGATTTGAGTATTGCTTTACGGCTCAGATAAAGAATTTATTGCATGGGTTATGGTGATAGATCATGATTTGTGAGGCATGCGCCGTAAAACTTTACTAAAACAAAACAAACTGAAGTCTGTGTCCGTAAGATATGGGAAAAATTCAAAATTTCCTACCACTGGAAATGTTTAATGTGTCCTGCGCACTCATATGACTTTATGCAGTTGCGAGTGCTGTAAAACACTTACCAAACAAAGATGAGTTGAATAGGATGTAACATGTTTGACGTGCGTGTGTGTGTGTGGGCGTGTCCCCAGGAAGCGGCCAGCGACGGGGAGGATGAGGACAAACACTACACAGAGGAGATGGACATGCCGGGCCAGAAGTTTGAGACCAAGCAGAGGATCACAGTCCGCAACTTGAGGATTAGGGAGGACACCGCCAAGGTGGGTCATTTGTGGGGGACTGTG